GTCGGACAGAACTTGGGCGACAGCGTGTAAGCGCCACTCTAGCATCACATCAGTACCCAGAGCAAGGAAGCCTAGGCGCCCCGGGTTAAGGACGGCCACGCAGACCGCATCTCGGGACCCAAGCTGGGCAGGGGCAGGCGGCTGCTGGCAAACCCCAGCACAGAGGCCCCCAGCGCATGGCGAGACCACAGGGCGCGGCGGCCGAGACAAAACAAGGCGCTCAAGCGAGGGCGCCACCTCCCTGCGCACTAACGATATCGTGGACCAAGGCAGCCAACGGGGCAGCCGCGCCGCCACATCCCAGCAGGAGAGGGGGCGGGAGAGACGGGCAGATGTCCAAGAGAGCTGCGCAATCTTTCGCACATGCTGACAACTCCAGGCTACGGCTCTCTGTCCCCAGCCACCGCAGTACAAGATCACGGAGTGGTGCGATTGGGCGCGCAAGTCCTCGGGCCTCCATAGCTGGCAGCGCGCCTCCTCTGGCTGCAGACTCGGCCCCGGGCGACCGGGCGCGATTCCAAGGGAGTGTCCGGCAGATCTTGAGCCCTCTCGCCTGGCCACCGCGCTCATTCACGCCCATGGTCCCCCCAAGCAGCGCAGGCCCCAGTGGCAAGCAAATGGACGTCGGCGGCAGGCATCAGCGACAGCGGTGTCAGGGCGGCGCGCGGAGGGAGAGCACGCGCGCGCGTGGAGTACAACGGGCAGCACGAGCGCGCGCGCATGGACGGGCAAGCACAGGGACGCATGCGAGCAGGAATGGCCCATCACTTCATGACCCTGCGTCCAGCATCCACATCATTCAGGCACGCCGGGGCAGGTGCGCGCGCGTGCAAAACAAGAGCATAGACCATAGACAACTTGCATCTATGCACAGACCTAGCAACCTTCCACCATGCCCAACTGAGACCGAAGTGCATTGCTGACATCTCTGCCTCGACAGTATGATAGCATGCGCTCGCAGAGACCCCGAGGGCAGAGGGCACCGGCGAAGAGGCAGTAGCGCACTCCTTGCTTTCCGCTACGCTTCAACCAATAATATGGTTCATATGGCTTCCTGGGGCGGCAACGACGCAGGGCATGCAGCGGGATGTCCTAATGAGGTTGCCTAGTGGCCCGCTCGAGCCTTGCGGGCGGCTGTGCGCCCGCGACGTCCAGCCGAGATTGCCAATGCCCCTTTGGATGGCTTCCTCCGCGTCAGCTAGAATCTGGCGCGCCGACCTCTTCGGCGCCGGCTCGCGCAACAGATTAGCACTAGAGGCTGGCGGGGCCGGTGACTGGAGGTCGACCACTGGGCCCGGAAACAAAATCAGCTCCTCGATCCAAGTGTCAAGGGTGGCCCGGCCCCCGCGCACAACAACAGTGCCAAACCTCTTGTTGACAAGCTGAATCTGCCGCGGTGACTTCCAGAGACGGTTGGTTCGGGTCCCCCGTAGCGAACGCAAAAGGCGGGGCGCCGCTGTAGGTGGCACCACCGCGGCGCGAGCCATGGACTATGCGGACGCCCATAGCTTGCGCTACATTGTGGAGGTCCACCTGCGAAGAGAGGTTGGAAGCAAAGTGGGCAGTGAGGTTCAGCCTCGGGTCCTTGTGGCTTCCTACGATCTGCCGCACCCGCATAGGCCAGCTTGAGACTGTCTGCTCGTGCTCGGCCCTGGTGTTAACCCTACCGAGGCTCACGGGTTGCGGCATGCCAGCGTCGCCAGCGACTGGGGGCAGACCGAGAACCGGCGCCGGGGCCGCGGCGGTCGCCGCTTGGCTCCGGACATGGGCTAGGATGGCAGCGGGCTGGGCAGCAGGCTGCGCAACTAGAGGGCCGGCTACCGGAGCTGCGGGCCCAGCCGCCTGGCTCTGAGCCTGGGCTTCGATGGCTGCACGCATGGCTGGCTCATCGTTAGGGGGGCGGGTAGTAAGCGGCACGACTGCAGGGCCTGCGACAGCCTCCAGCTGCGGGCCTGCAGTGCTGGGATCGACTGGGGCCCCGGCTGGCAGCTGGCCGGCGGGCCGCGAGAAGCTAGCGAGCTGCTGATTCAGGCGGGCAACTCGGGAGAGCCAGGACTCGACCTCAGGGGGCCTGCTACGCGCCACCTGCTGGGTGGCACTGTGTTAAGGCCCCACCTCCGCCGGTGGCGCGGAACTCCACCCATGCCGGGCGGTCGGCCGAGAACCTCCAGCTCTTGGCGGAGCGAGCGAAGCGGGTCAGCCGCTGGCGGCCCGGGGCTTGCCGCCGCGCGCGCCGCATGCTGCGGCGCGGCCTGGGTCTCCGGCGCCGTGCCTCCGGGGGGGCCGAGAGCGGCTGGGTGACAGCCGCGGCTGCATACGAATCGCGGACAAGGACAGTGGGGGCCGCGGCGGGAACTACCTGGCTCAGGCCCGGGTGGTCCCAACGGCTCTCCCCCGTGCGCCTGTTCTGGAAAAAACAAGGCCCCGGACGGTGCGCGACGAGACTCCCACCCCGGCGGCAGCGGCGGAGGAGACGCGTCCGGCGGGCCAGGCGACCGCTCAGGCGACCGCTCCACGGCGGCGACATTGCCCTGCCTTGGCGTTGATGGGCCCGCGCCAGCTGGGGGCGATGGAGGCGGCGGGGGCGGCGGCGGCGGCGGCGACACTGGCGCCGTGCCGATCCAGCCCGCCGGTGGCCCGCGCGACGGGCTAAGCACAGTAGGCCCCGCCGCAGCCAGGGACAGGACCGCGCGGGCCTTCGCCGACGCCCCCGGGAAGGGGCTCCAATCGCTGGGAGGCGGTTCGGCCGGGAAAGGGCATGAGGTGGCAGGCTGCGGCGGGATCTAAGCTCCGAGCGCCGCGCTGAGTTCAACCGACGGGCCGCGCGGCTGGCTGCTTGCCACAGGCGTCGGGCTACACTCATCAGGCCTGGATGGAGTCAGCTCAGATGATTGCGGGCTGGGGCGGCGCCTACGATGGCGCTCGCGGCTGCTGCGGCTGCTGCGGGCGCGGCCCCTGCGCCGGTCCCTGTCGCGGTCGCGGTCACGTGAGCGATCCCGATCTCTGTCGCGTTCATGGTCTCCGTGACGTTTGCGGTCCCGGTTGGGGGTTCGCTCAGTGGACGGCATGGCCGCGGGCGGGGGGCAGCGGGGGCGGCAGGGCAGCCGCTCGTCTCGCACGCGGGGCCTCGGAGCCAAAGCGCGACGGGTCGGGCAAAAAGCACAGCGCGGACAGACACTCTTGGCACGCATGAAAGCGGAGAGCGTAGCAGGCGACACCCCCTCCCCACCGGCCACGTTCGGGGCGCGCCGGTGGACAGCGGGCAGCAAGGGCAATCATGGGGAAGTGGATACATGGCACGCAGGATCTGGAACAAGACGACACTAGAGGAGGCAAGGCACGCTCATGCCAGACCACATTGCGAAGCGCTCGCGATGCAAGCGTGAATCCTGGCCGACGACGACGACGGCGACCGCGACGCCCGCCCCCTCTCGGGTCAGCCGCGGGCAACCCTACAGACGGCCGGGGGCCCAAGCAGTCGCTTAGAATCCGTGAGGAGGCAAAAGCGGCACGGCACGGCAGGATGGTTCGGTGCGGTCACCGCACGGACGACAAGAGCACTCGGGCCCCCAAGCGAGGCCAGCGCGCCGCTGGCGCGGCCTCCACCAGACCGAACGAAAGTTAAAGAGCAGCGCCACCCAGCGCGCAGCTTGCCTTCGCGGCCTAAGCCGAAAAAACCACTGAAGAAACAGCTGGGGCAAGAAGGCAAGGCAGGGAGGAAAGACGAGACACTGCAGTGCTAAACGACATATAAAGTTCGATTGCCCCGGCGACGGCAACGTCGATGCCCGCCCCCTCCCGGGACAACCGCGGGCTGCCCGACAGACGACCGGTGGCATACTAGGACGCAGATGAGGTAAGACGTCGAGGACAAGGCAGCGAGGAACACACCGCAGGAGGGACGCCCAGGACGCGGCGCGGCCCCGCGAGGCGTAGACCAGAGGTTCGACGGACGAGGCGTGGCACGGCACCGCAGCCCAAGCACGGAGCAGCACCAAAAACCACGGCACAGCAGTGTACACGATGCCCTCGCCGCTGCTGTCGCTACCACACTTGTTGCCGCTGCATCTCGACTGGCTGTCGCCGCGGCGCCTCTGCCGCTGCCGCTGCCACCACAGCCGTGCCCCTCTCGCCTGTTTGCTGATGCTGCTTATCCTCATCCTTGCCCCCGTCCTCCTGATCATTGTCCTCCTCCCCTCCCTGCGCCGCGCCCGCGCCATGCAGGCGGAACTTCGAGGACTCCGAGGGGTGCGAAGCCGTGGTGGGAACGGATTTTCGCATGGTCAGTGTAAGCTCGTGGCGTCTAGGCTCCTAGGCGCGACGGCAGAGCAGGCGCGGACGTTCAAGAATGAAGGTTGTGTCGGCAGTCCCATGGAACCCCCGACGGCGGAGATCGTTCAAGACTGAACAGGCCGTCGTGGCTTCCTCATGGCCCACCGGTCCTTCGGCAGTCTGCGGCAGACTGGCCCAGTTTCTGCCCTTCTGGCGCACGCGCGGGGCTGTACTTGCAAGGCTGCCTCGGCCGCGGGTCGGAGGTGGGGGAGTCGCGCGAGTCCGGGCGATTCAGAGCCCACCAGGCCTGCGGCCCCTTGCTGAGTGTGCAGATTTTCGCGCCTTGTTCAGATGTTCACTCGTCGAGCACCCGCTGTCGAGTTACCCTGGCAAGCTGGATAAGATAGTGTTACCCTGCCTACCAGGGTAGACATCGTGCGCTCCACGATTGATCCGAGTCTAAGTCGACCTGGCTGACCCGCCGCCTCATCTTCCCTGCCCTCCTTCCTTCTCCTCCTCGTCTTTGCTCATCTCCCTCCTCCTCATGCTCGTTCTCTCAGGACTTGGGATCTCTCCGGATGGCATTCAATCGAACGGTGCATGGATTTCGAGCGCGGTTCAGCTTCTTCTTTGGATTGGCTCCATTTCCACGGAAGGGGGGAGGAAGAGTGGGCAGGAGGAGGAAACTCTCAGTGGATAGGCGGCCACACCCCGTCTTTCCAAGCGAGGTCCTCGAGAGCGTGAGGAGAGCGCTCCAGACGCACGGCGTGTACATACCTGCGCCGCCCTCGGTCGGCGGCTCGTTCGTCCCATCCATCCCCTTCCGATCTTATCTCCTGCTTTCCTCACCCCCTACTTCGACAGGCCTGATGTGTCATCGGATCCCGTCCATCTCTTTCCGATCCCCTCTCCTCCTTTCTTCACACCCCCTGCCTCGACAAGCCTAAGGCCTCATCGGATAAGTGCAGTGTTTACACAGGGGATCTTACTTCGGTTTCTTAGATAATTGTCGCCGAGGATGTTTCACGTTGCTGTCCCGTGCCGCCTCGTGCGCGCTCGTAGGCGCTCTGGGCGCTGGGTGGGTCCTCCGAGGTTGCGCCACTTTGCCGCCCAAGCCGCCTCGTGGGCCCTCGTAGCCGCTTTGTGCTTTGGGTGGGCCCGCCAAGCTTGCGCCACTTTGCCACCCGTGCCGCCTTGTGGGCGCTCGAGTGCGTCCCGTGCGCCGAGCTTCCACCACGCTGTTGATACGGCATGGTTTGCACGACATAGTTTCTACCAACTAGCTTGCACCGCATAGCTTGCACAGCAAATATGGTCTTGAAGGAGGATACACTCTAGCACCCCCACGCGCCAGGCGTTAACCGCTCGCGATGTTGTATTGGAATTTGCAGATCATCCTGCCCAAGTGTTCATCTTAGTATCAAGTCGCACCATCCCAGCAGCACTGGTAGTGGACCTCACCCTTAGGTACATCGCAACCGGATGCGATTTGAGAATTCTTTGTTCACGTCAAAGTCGTTCAACAACAGCTTTTGGTCTTAAGCAAGTTCAAGGCATCGATAGCGACAAAGTATCAAAAAACATTGCTCCTCCAACGAATGAATTGCCAGGTTTCGTGCGCGCTCGTTGGAAATCGGAGAGAGCCATACGTTTGGACCCATTCTGTTTAACCTGAGCAGCATCCGGGCCTTTCGCGCGCGCATGCCAAACACGTGAAACCACCATAGCGCGCCCACCGTCCCTGTGAACAAAGGGCCACATGCGCCGTTTCCGCGCGGGCAAGTCGAGATCATGGCAGGATGCCTTGATTTCTGCGGGCGCGTACTTTCTCTTGTCAGCGCAAGCGTTATCTTCGCCGCCAGCGTCCTCATTGCCATCGTCACCACCATCGGAGCACCATCATCATCATCACCATCGTCGGGATCGCCGTTTCGACAAAGCGATCGATTGTGGAGGGGGTCCGATGTTGCAGTCGGGTTTCGCTGAGTTTCTCGCCTCGGCTCTGGGGCGCTTCGGCCTCCCATGCGCTGCGCAGCGCGCTGTCGCTGACATCTGGAAAGGGCGCGCGTTCGAGGCGAGGGGCTCGGGGTGCGTGGCGAGCGAGCGGGCGCAGCGATCAGATATCTCACAAGGCTGCCCGCCGTCCCTACTTATCTCCCGAGTTGTCACGGCAGTCATCATGAAAGATGCGGGGGGCGGGTCCAGACAGCAGTTGTCGGCGCGTTGGTTAGAATCTACGCCGGCGGTACTTGTTTGTTTGCTCGGACAGCAGAAGACATGCAAGAGCGGCTCCGTGTCGTCCAACATTTCGCGGGCTTTTTCCCGGAAAGGGCGTGGGCCCAGGGTTCTCTTTTAGTAGGTAAACCTGTCCCCCGGTGCCAACTTGAGGGAGGCCGGCGAATTTTTTCCCTGATAAATAACGAGGTCGAAGGAGGCCGGCGAATTAAAATTTGAGGATGTCTCGAGCGAAACGCTTGTTTTTGAAATCCCGATCGATAAATCACAGGGTGCGGGCCACTTTTTCGTGTGTTGAGGATGTCTCGAGCGAAACGCTTGCTCCGCAGAGTTTGCCGAGGATGTCTCGAGCGAAACGCTTGTTTTGCAGAGCCGACCGCGACGCGGAAAAGCGCCCCGCGCGAAGGAATTTCGATGATGTCTCGACTAATTCCTTTGTTTTTGTACGATTTCCTGGAATTTTGGCAGGATGTCTCGAGCGAAATGCACGACCCCACCCTAGCACGACCATACCCCAGCACGACCACACCCCAGCACGACCAGACCCCAGCACGACCCCACCCCAGCACGACCCCACCCCAGCACGACCATACCCCAGCACGACCACACCCCAGCACGACCCGACCCCAGCACGACCCTACCCCAGCAAGACCACACCCCAGCACGACCACACCCCAGCACGACCTCACCACAGCACGACCAGCACGACCACGCCCCAGCACGACCACGCCCCAGCACGACCACGCCCCAGCACGACCACCCCCCAGCACGACCACCCCCCCAGCACGACCACCCCCCAGCACGACCACCCCCCAGCACGACCACACCCCAGCACGACCACTCCCCAGCACGACCACACCCCAGCACGACCACACCCCAGCACGACCACACCCAGTCGCACCCCCGTGGAATGTTTCGTGGCGTGTCTGGTTGAGTGGTTGCCTGTTCGTGGGGTGTCTCGTGGAATGTTTCACGGGGTGTCTCGTGGAATGTTTCGTGAGGTGTCTCGTGGAATGTTTCGTGAGGTGTCTCGTGGGATGTTTCGCGGGGTGTCTCGTGGGATGTTTCGTGAGATGTCGCCCAGTTGGGTATCGTGAAAACGTGACCATGCTGCACATGTCTTTATCCCTTTCCGGGTTCGTGGGTCCATCATGTTTTGGATTGGAGCTGCACAGGGGAAGTTTGAGTTGACGCGCGTGAACTGCCGCGGCAGTGTCAAGACGCCAGCGGGCGAGGATATTGAGGCTGCGGATACCTTGGCGCGCCTCGGAACCAACGTCTGCAGTGACTGCAACCGGGCGGGCGGAACCGCGCCTCGGGTGGGGGCGAGCTCAACTGAGGACTTGGCATGGCGCTTGCGGAGCTTCGTCAGCTCAAGACGGCGCGGGGGCACGCGAACACCGGCCAGTAACGGAAGGTCGATCTTTCCAATGTTGTCATACCACCGAAACTCTTTTACCTTCGTAGCACAGCATGCTTGAGCGCCGCAGAAGGGGCGTCGATTCGACGGGACACAGCGTCGGATGCTGAGAAGTATCTGTGCAGTTAGCATCCTATGGTATCGCGCGTTATTCGCAGTCGGACTCAACAGCAACCGTTCACAAAGATTTTGCTGGAACGCCAACTATTATTATACGTAAACGCAGCTCGTGGTGAGCCGGGCGACACGCTGCGCGATTCCATATTTGTTCGGTGTGCTTCCAAATTCAGCACGGACAGCTTCACCTGGAAGCCCAGACGATCACTCACGGACTGGGCGAAGTTTGTCCTGCCACACGTGCAGTCACCATCTGGTGACCTCCACAATTGAGAAACCCTAGTACACGACGAACGTGCTTGAAGACTAAGCGTGAGTGCGCTCCTGGAGCGCGTACCGATTCGCCCCAGGGCGTTTGGCCCTCTCGCCTTTTATATTTGTCTGTAGTTTTTCTCTTTCCCGTTCTCTTTCTCTCTCTCTCTCTCGCGTTCTCTCTCGTTCTCTCTCTCTGTCAATTTCTCTTCACGTCGACAGACTGCGAGGCCCCCCCCGTGGCAGGAACGGCTTGGCCGAGTGTTGCGAGGCAGGTGGCTTCCAACGAACGCCCAGTCAAGGAGTCGACCCTGGCCGGGGGCGAGCAGGCACGCTCCTTCGCCGCAGGACGCAGGGCCGGGCCGCTGACAACCGCAGGTCCGGGACGAAAAGGCGCCCGGCGGAGGGCAGATCCGCGCAGGCGCGGCCGCCCGCGAAAGACCACCTGGCGACCAGCCGCGCAATGCATTATGCCCCAGAGGGCGGCGCGGTGCTAGCGGTGTTGCGCGCAATGGCCGCGCAGTAGCAACACGAAGGAGCGAGGATGAGGGAGGAGGGGGGATACGGTCGATTCGCGCGCCGCGTCCACTTCGCGGTGACCCAAGCGCTGCCATAGGGAGTCGGTCGACATCAAGCGATTCGCGTTATCTAGAGGCCGCGATCGTTCAAGGTTGAACGATCCATTTGGTGTCAGAAAACAGCACATTATGCGTGACGAGACGAACCTGCCGTAGGGGAGGGGGAGCGGAAGGAGGTGGAAGAGAGAAAAGGGGATGGCATATATGATATTAAAGCGTAAGTGGGGCATCAGAAGGACGAGCATCCCACTCCGCTCACTTTTCTTTCCCTCTTCTTTTGTTATCCCATCCGCATCGGTTTTTGTTCGCACAGGGAAGTGCAGGAAAGAGAGAACAAGAGAGAACACAGCACGAACTAATGATAATAAGCAAAGCAACGAGAGATACAGAGAGAGAGAGAGAGAGAGACACAGAGAGAGACAGAGAGCGGCAGAAGGGTAGAGAAGGAGGGGGACAGGATAAGAGAGGGAGCGAGAGAGAGAGAGGGAAAAAGAGAAAGAGAGAGAGAGAGAGAAAGAGAGAGAGAGAGAGAACACTGGACAAACGAAAGAGAGAGAGAGCCTCCGCGAGTTTCCCTTCGCCTCCTTTTTCCCGGAAAGGGCATGGGCCCAGGGTTCTCTTTTAGTAGGTAAACCTGTCCCCCGGTGCCAACTTGAGGGAGGCCGGCGAATTTTTTCCTTGATAAATAACGAGGTCGAAGGAGGCCGGCGAATTAAAATTTGAGGATGTCTCGAGCGAAACGCTTGTTTTTGAAATCCCGATCGATAAATCACAGGGTGCGGGCCACTTTTTCGTGTGTTGAGGATGTCTCGAGCGAAACGCTTGCTCCGCAGAGTTTGCCGAGGATGTCTCGAGCGAAACGCTTGTTTTGCAGAGCCGACCGCGACGCGGAAAAGCGCCCCGCGCGAAGGAATTTCGATGATGTCTCGACTAATTCCTTTGTTTTTGTACGATTTCCTGGAATTTTGGCAGGATGTCTCGAGCGAAATGCACGACCCCACCCTAGCACGACCATACCCCAGCACGACCACACCCCAGCACGACCAGACCCCAGCACGACCCCACCCCAGCACGACCCCACCCCAGCACGACCATACCCCAGCACGACCACACCCCAGCACGACCCGACCCCAGCACGACCCTACCCCAGCAAGACCACACCCCAGCACGACCACACCCCAGCACGACCTCACCACAGCACGACCACACCCCAGCACGACCACGCACGCACGACCACCCCAGCACGACCACACCCCAGCACGACCACCCCCCAGCACGACCACCCCCCAGCACGACCACCCCCCAGCACGACCACACCCCAGCACGACCACCCCACCCCACGACCACACCAGCCGACCACACCCAGTCGCGCCCCCGTGAATGTTCGTGGGTGTCTGGTTGAGTGGGTTGCCTGTTCGTGGGGTCTCGTGGAATGTTTCACGGGTGTCTCGTGGAATGGTGGTGTCTCGTGGGAATGTTTCGTGAGGTGTCTCGTGGATGTTTGGGTGTCTCGTGGGATGTTCGTGGGATGTCGTGCCAGTTGGGTATCGTGAAAACGTGACCATGCTGCACATGTCTTTATCCCTTTCCGGGTTCGTGGGTCCATCATGTTCTGAGACTCCTTGCATTAGGCTGCAGAGCTCTTGACCCCTTCTGTCGCAAGGGCTTTTCGCGCCGAGGGCCATTCTCCGTGAGTCCCGCGGACCAGAACGGCTTCTCGGGTGCCCAACCAAGCTCTGACAAATCGGCCGTCCTGATGGCTCTCGACGATTTTTCCCGGAAAGGGCGCGGGCCCAGGGTTCTCTTTATCTATGTAAACATGTCCCCGGTGCCCAACTTGAAGGAGGCCGGCGAAATTTTTCCCTGATAAATATCGAGGTCGAAGGAGGCCGGCGAAATTATGTTTGAGGATGTCTCGAGCGAAACGCTTGTTTTTGAAATCCCGATCGATAAATCACAGGGTGCGGGCCACTTTTTCGTGTGTTGAGGATGTCTCGAGCGAAACGCTTGCTCCGCAGAGTTTGCCGAGGATGTCTCGAGCGAAACGCTTGTTTTGCAGAGCCGACCGCGACGCGGAAAAGCGCCCCGCGCGAAGGAATTTCGATGATGTCTCGACTAATTCGTTTGTTTTTTGTACGATTTCCTGGAAATTTGGCAGGATGTCTCGAGCGAAATGCACGACCCCACCCTAGCACGACCATACCCCAGCACGACCACACCCCAGCACGACCAGACCCCAGCACGACCCCACCCCAGCACGACCCCACCCCAGCACGACCATACCCCAGCACGACCACACCCCAGCACGACCCGACCCCAGCACGACCCTACCCCAGCAAGACCACACCCCAGCACGACCACACCCCAGCACGACCTCACCACAGCACGACCACACCCCAGCACGACCACGCCCCAGCACGACCACGCCCCAGCACGACCACGCCCCAGCACGACCACCCCCCAGCACGACCACCCCCCAGCACGACCACACCCCAGCACGACCACACCCCAGCACGACCACTCCCCAGCACGACCACACCCCAGCACGACCACACCCCAGCACGACCACACCCAGTCGCACCCCCGTGGAATGTTTCGTGGCGTGTCTGGTTGAGTGGTTGCCTGTTCGTGGGGTGTCTCGTGGAATGTTTCACGGGGTGTCTCGTGGAATGTTTCGTGAGGTGTCTCGTGGAATGTTTCGTGAGGTGTCTCGTGGGATGTTTCGCGGGGTGTCTCGTGGGATGTTTCGTGAGATGTCGCCCAGTTGGGTATCGTGAAAACGTGACCATGCTGCACATGTCTTTATCCCTTTCCGGGTTCGTGGGTCCATCATGTTTTGGTTCGAGGAGAGGCTGCCCGGGCCCCGAAAGGCCTCCCGAGATGCGAAAGCGCTCCGAGGACTTGAGTAGGAGATCGACTGCAGAAGATTTACGCCCGAATTGATCTTCGCGAAGAATCTACGAACGAATACGTCAAATGCTCCGTAGATCTACGGAGCATTTTGCATGTGTTTCGTGCAGTCGACGGAAAATACAGCCTGGGGTTCACCAATTCTGTCGTCGATCCCCGACTCGAAGGACTGCGCGCCGTCCCTGCGTTCTGGCAGGCCGCTCCCCCCGTCCCGAGGCCGCGCCGCCGCCCTCGCGGAGCGCTGGCGCCAGGCCCGAGGACGCGGCCATCGGTAAGTCGCTGCGGTACTGAGGCCGCCGTGGGTGCGCACGAGGGTGCGCACAGGCAGGCGGATGCACCGTCGAAGCTCGCTGGGGAGAGGCCGCCTCGACGGAGAGTCGGCGGGCGCTGCTTGACCAGATCGGGCGGGCCCGTTCTTTCCAAGGCCTCAGCCCGTCCATCACCGGCCGCTCCTAGACTTTCTTGACTCGCACCCAGTGACTAGTATCGGCCATCTCTTCCCGTGCAGTTTCTCCCCCGCGTTTCGCCAGAACCGAGCTGATTTCGTCAGGTTGGTGGAGTAACCGCCCCCTTTCCACTGCGTCACTGCTGCCGCATAATTTCACAAGACAACTGCAGGCCGTGGAACTCCGCCGCCCTTCACGATGTCGGCAAGCGTTCTTGTTAGCATTGTTTGCATTGTTGAAGTCGGCATTGCGGTGTTGTGGGGGAGCGCGCTGATTTCGGCCAGATCTGGAGCCTTGGAGGATCTGGAGTCCCTCGTGCTCGCCGCTCTCACCTCGCCGAACGTGCCGATGCGGACAATCCTTTTCGGCGCGCGCGTGAGTTCTTGGAGCAAGTTGAAACATCCAAATATACGAGAAACAAACGACGTCTTGGAGATGACCTCTCCCTGACGTACTCCAAATCTTCGAATCAGGCCCAGTCAAGGCCTGACGGCTACTGTTGGGCTGCTATTCCCGTCCAAGCCTCCAGCCCACGCATGGCCCATCTAGCGATAGGCAAGCATGTTGTTTCTGCGTTCAAGTTCCGTAGCGTCTTATGCCAGTGGTGTGAATGTTTCTCGCCATCGCGTTGTTATTCCCAACCCTCCTGCGTTGGGTTCGCGTTTTGATTCGAGCACTGCGGGGCTGCGATCTGCGAAACCGTCGCCACTTTCGAGGGCTTCTGGTGGTCCAGCGGACTGACGTCTTACGCGGACTCAAATTAGACCTCGCCGTCCTTGCGGGGCTGCGATCTGCTAGCCCGTCGCCACTTTCGAGGGCTGCTGGGGGGTCCAGCGGAGTGACGTCTTACCCAGATTCAAATTGAGCCTCGCCATCCCTGGGGGGCTGCTCGGGGTCCAGCGGACTGACGTCTTACGTGGACTCAAATTCGACCTCGCCGTCCCTGGGGGGCTGCGATGTGCGATGTCGTCACCAATTTCGAGGCTTGCTGAGGGGTCCTGTGGGGCGACGTCATACGCGGACTCGAATTCGACCTCGCCATCCCTGGGGGGCTGCGATCTGCGAAGCTGTCTCCACTTTCGAGGGCTGCTGGGATGTCCAGCGGAGTGACGTCTTACGCGGACTCAGCCACTTTCGAGGGGTGCTGGGGGGTTCAGCGGAATGACGTCTTACCCAGGCACATGAGACCTCGCCATCCCTGGGGGGGCTGCGATCTGCGAAACCGTCGCCATTTTCGGGGGCTGCTGGGGGGTCCAGCGGAGTGACGTCTTACGCGTCTAAAAATCGACCTCGCCATCTCTGCGGGGCTGCGATCTGCGAGCCCGTCGCCACTTTCGAGTGCTGCTGGGGGGGGCTAGCGGAGTGACGTCATACGCGGACTCGAATTCGACCTCGCCATCCCTGGGGGGCTGCGATCTGCGAAATTGTCGCAACGTTCGAGGGCTGCTGGGGGTCCAGCGGAGTGACGTCATACGCGGACTCAAATTCGACCTCGCCATCCCTGGGGGGCGGCGATCTGCGAAGCTGTCGCCAGTGTCAAGGGCTGCTGGGGGGTCCAGCGGAGTGACGCCCTACGCGGATTCAAATTAGACCTCGCCGTTCCTGGGAGGCTGCGATTTGTGAAACCGTCGCCACTTTCGGGGGCTGCTGGGGGGTCCAGCGGAGTGACGTCTTAGGTGGATTCGAATTCGACCACGCCGTCCTTGCGGGGCTGCGATCTGCGGAACTGTCGCCATCTTCGAGGGCTGCTGGGGGGGTCCAGCGGAGTGACGTCTTACCCAGACTCAAATTGAACCTCGCCATCCCTGGGGGGCTGCGATCTGCGAACCCGTCGCCATTTTCGGGGGCTGCTGGGGGTTCCGGCGGTATCTTACGCGGATTCAAATTAGACCTCGCCATCCTTGCGGGGCTGCGATCTGTGAAATCGTCGCCACTCGAGCGCTGCAAGGGTTCCAACGGAGTGACGTGTTACACAGATTCAGATGAGACTTCGGCGTCCCTGTGGGGCTGAGGTGTGCAAAGTTGTCGCCACTTTCGAGGGTTGTTGTGGGAACCAGCGGAGTGACGTCTAACGCGCGCCACCAGGTAACCTCGCCATCCCTGGGGGGCTGCGAGTCTGGCTGGCGACCTAGGCCTCGTCCGCTGCTTGCACGAACTATAAGCAGGGCGAATTATTTGTTCGAGTGCCGCGGCGACATGGCGCAGGCAGCGCTGCACCTTTAGCGTACCACCGACAAGAGCAACCCCTCAATTTCGTCGTCGTCCCCTGCCCCCTACAATGTTCCTTTTCTGTTTATGCCGCGCTGACGGTTCGGCTCCCCACGCGTCTTTCTCCTGCCCTTCGTTTCCGCCCCTATATTTGTCTCAAACTTGGGCCCTCGCTCCTCGTCCTTTTTTGTCGTTGTCCCGTGAATCGTACCACGTGAGCGCATCCCGTGTAGCTTGCACAATTATATATATATATATATATATATATATATATATATATATATATATATATATATATATATCAGGTGCTTGCACGGTCATTGTCCTGGCAAGTTTGGGTGAACTTCTCTTGTCACTTGATGCAAATGGGCTGGGTCCGTCGCAGGGTAATTCTTCATCGTCGTCATCCCTTTCCTCACCGTGCCACGAGGCAGTGTCTAATCCTTGACACTTCGCGACCAGCCCATCTAGAAACTATGATAATTGTAGTTTTTTGAAAGAGGGAAGCCGCGTAGCATGTGTGAAAAAACGACGCGGTGAACTCAGCTACCTCTGCAAGCTGCTTGGGGCCATATTGGAGCTCTCTTAGCGTCCGTCCGTTCGGGGGCGTTCGACGCCGTCTCGGGTCACTCTTCGGGTCATCATGCAGGACGTCGGGCAAACGTAGAGACGTTGCAATGCTTGGTGGCCCCGTCGGAGCACGACAGATCGCCTCTCGGGTGCTCTTGGAGCGCTCTTTAGGCGCTCTCCGGGGTCTTCGGGGCTTCTGGAGTCTTTGTGGGTCTTTCTAGGAGCCAGTTTTGAGGCCTCATAAGCTAATTGGTGACGAACAAGGTGAGAAGGCAATCTTGTTGAAACCCCGGGTTTTTGAAGGAATGCGGCTCTCGGGAACAGCTGTGCCGTGGCCAATTGGAGATGTATTGCGGCGGAGGCTTCTCTGTTGCCCTTAGATGCCACCTTGGGTTTTTCTCAACCATCCTGTGGTGTTGGGTCCTCGTTTTGAAGAGACAGCGCCCCGCGTTCCTTCCTCCTCGTTACCCCCTCCCTCCTCCTCGCATCATCATCATCATCATCATCATCATCATACAGCGACTTGTCGGCATTTGTGGTAACTCCGCGGCCGTATTCCCTCGCTCAAGTTCTAAAGGGATACAAGCATTATTTGAGCGGGCCTGCGCCGACCTCACCAGTGCCCTCACCACTGCCATCATAGTTCGCGGCAGCTCGACGCCCTGCCCAAATTGCGTCTGCTCCCCAGCGCTGCACTGCCCTGCGTTGGAGTGCCGCTGCCCGACAGGCGAGGGCTCGCTGGCATCCGTGCAGCCCACAGGCTGGTCGACTGAGTTCGTGGTCGTGCTCGTGGTGAGCTCCTTCGCATACGGCATCGTCGTAGGCGGCTTTTTCATCAAGAGCTCTCGGACGTCCCCCGTGGTTCAGCCCGCACCCGCTCCAGCACCTTTGTTCGAGACGGTGGACACTCTCGACCTTGCGACGGCGGCTGATGCCCAGGCGAGGAAGTTCCGCCGCTAGGAGCAATGGCTGCTCGCACCTCTGGCCAGTTCCACTACGTACGGTACAACGTCGGGGGGCCCGCCATCTACCACGAGAGGCTCACGTTGCTGCCAGGGTACATCCTCACCCCTGACGATGACGACTGCGCGGAGAGCGACCTGGCTGGCGGCGACTTGAGATCAGTGCATGACTCGGCGGGCCAGGGCGACGCAATCGTCGGAGTCGCCGCCCATAGGCTCTACAAGTTCAGACGGCTGCCGTCCGCAGCCGTCGTCTGGGCTGCTGTGCGCCGCGGCGTCGCTCAAGGCCACGGACCTCTGCCGCCGTCGCCATTCAACCTCGAGCTCAGCGCCGACAACGTGCTGGGCGTGGCGGCGGGGGCGCTGGCCTTGCCCGGCCCGCTCGGAGCGGCGCCCGCTGCCGCAGCGCCTGGCGCCCTGGCCTTGGCGGGCGCGGCCGTGCCCCCCGCGGGCGCCCCTGGGCCGCCCGCCGCCGTGGCCGCGGCGCCCGAGGCCGGGGTGGGCGCGCTGGCGGCGGCGCTCGGCGCGGGGGGAGCCGCCCTGCCTGCTGCCGCGGACCCTTTGGGCGTCGGCGGCGCCGCCGCGGCCCCCGCCGCCCCAGGCGTCGCGGGACCTGATCCCCGCGTGATGGCCACCGTGCTCGACGCTCGTGGGCTGCGGGACATGCCCTTCAGCGACGCCGCGAAGCGCCAGACCGAGACCGCCCGCGCCGACTGGCCCGTGAGGGGCCCTAGGACCACGACGCGGGTGCTCCACTTCATGCTGCGCATGGCTGGCGGGGCGATGGCGCGGCACAACCGCTGGATGGCCATGATGCAGGCCCTGGAGACGGACGACGCCGCCAAGCTCCACGAGACGCTCTGCCGCGTCATCGAGACCTCGCTCTGCCACGACCAGCTGATCATCTGCGAGCTGGCCTCCTACGAGTTCCTTTCGCGGCAGCTGCAGTTGGTGGAGGAGCGCTTCTTCGAGGAGCGCGCGCGCAGGACTCAGCCTGCGCCCAAGACCAAGGGCCAGGCCAAGGACGGCGCCGCGTCCGCGGCCGCCGAGGCCTCCTCGGAGATTGGCCACTTCCTCGGCACGGGAAAGACGATGAGGAACTCGT